TCTTTCTTTCTTTCTTTCTTTCTTTCTTTCTTTCTTTCCATTTACTCTTTGAAGATCCTGGGCATTTGTTCTATAGAATTTCTCATATTCTGGATGTGACCTTGGAATGTTGGGTGATATGCTTCTCTATCCATTGTCTTTCCTACCAACTGGTAGTTAGATATGGAGGCTTGATTAGATTGAAATTCACTTTTTAAAATTGAGTTATTACTTACACCCAATGAGATACCCAGATCTCAGGTTCACAGTTAGATGAGTTTTGACAAATGCATACATTTTTTTTCAATATATGAAATTTATTGTCAAATTGGTTTCCATACAACACCCAGTGCTCATCCCAAAAGGTGCCCTCCTCAATACCCGTCACCCACCCTCCCCTCCCTTCCACCCCCCACCAACCCTCAGTTTGTTCTCAGTTTTTAAGAGTCTTTTATGGCAAATGCATACATTTACGTAACCTATACTCCCTTGAAATATAAAGCATTTCCATCATTCCACAAAGCTCCCTCTCTTACTTTCTCTTGATCACTTCTTCCTTCCTTGTGTACAAATCGAGTTAGAGCTGCCAAGCACAGATAAAGATTTTTGCCATCTGTTTTAGCCTTGCCTTGCCTGTGGGTAATTTAGGACCCCTTTGGAAAGGTTGCTTTCTCCCTAAAAATAATGTAGAGAATCCTGCTGTTGTTTGTACGAACTCTCCTCCTCATGACCACGCAACATGTTTTCACTGGCAGTTTATATCAGGATGATTTCTGTTGCAAGTAGCAAAAATTGGGTTCCAAATTGACTTAAGTAATAAAGAGAGTAAACTGGCTCATTTAACTGAATATTCTAGATGTAGATCCTGGTTTCAAGTAAAGCCTCATCTAGTGACTCGACAATTTCACCAAGGGGCCGGCTTTTCGTTTTGTTTTGTTTTTCTACTCTGTCATCTATTGGGTCAACTTCATAATGTATTTGGGTCCTAGGTGGCAGCCAGTGGTTCCTAGGACTGCATGCTTTCTCAGTCATTATCTGGCAAGGAAGAGAGAGATTTTTCCCAGAATTCCTGGAAAAAGTCATGAGATTGGCCCTGATTAGGCTCAGCGTAGGTTGCATGCCTACCCCTAATCCAGTCGGCTGTTCAACTCTGGACTTGGTAGTAGAGTCTCCTCCTTCCCCAGAACAACCTGGATCTCCTAAATGGAAATCAGGAGCTAACGGTGAGGAAGCATTGGCTGCTGTAGAGCAATGACTGCTATAATCACGAAAGCCCCAGTAGCCTCCGTCATTGGGACTTGCCTGGCTGTGCTTCCCTGGAGCAGCCCAGCTTCTGCACCAGACACCTTGCTTAACCCTCCCTCAGCCCCTCCTCGCCAGCCATCCAGAGATGTCTCTAGAATTTGAGGGTAGGGGTGGGTGGTCACTACATTCATTCTGACCTTAATGTTTCCAGCTGGGAAAAACGCACAGACCCCCGAGGCAGGTTTTACTATGTGGATCACAACACGCGGACCACCACCTGGCAGCGCCCCACAGCTGAGTACGTGCGGAACTACGAGCAGTGGCAGTCACAGCGGAATCAGCTTCAGGGCGCCATGCAGCACTTCAGCCAAAGATTCCTCTACCAGGTGAGAGGGCAGGGGCTTGCCACGAGGGAGGGGAGCCTCCTGGCCCTGGAGAATGTGCTGCCTCGCACACTATTTGTTGACCTGTTTGGTGAGCGGGAAGACGGTAGCTGGAAACATCAGTGCTCTGGAGATTTTACTCATCACGGTGAAATTCCTCAAATTCCGTCATTTCTAATTTAGTAACTCAGTGTCCAGCTTCTGTGTTTCAGGACTCAATATACCTGAAACTGACTCAGTATATCTGAGATATATACTGTCTTTCTGCCAAGACTGGATTTCTCTTCTGGCCCCTCCATCCAAGTCCATTTATTCTAGTTTGAAACCTGAAGGTCAGCTGTGACTTCTTCCGTACCTCAACTTTTGAGAACAAAACAGCCACCTACTCAGTTCGTTAAGCATCCAACTTCAGCTCAGGTCATGATCTCACAGTTTGTGGGCTTGAGCCCCACATCTGGCTCTGCACTGACAGTGCACAGCCTGCTTGGGTCCCGTCTCCCTTTTCTCTGTGCCCCTCCCCCGCTTGCTTGCGCTCTCTCTCTCAAAAATTAATACACATTAAAAAAAAGCCATCTAAATCTTTTCCTTTCTGCTATTGTTTTTCTTTAAATCTTTTTTATTTGACACATTCTTAAGGATGGAAGGACCTCTAAAGTTGTTGTGGATCAGGGCTTCGCAAACTATGGCCCATGGGCCAAAGTGGCCCACACCTGGTTTTGTAAATAAAGTTTTATTGGTACAGAAGCACTCCAAGTAGTTTAGGTATTGACTCTGGCTACTTACTTACACTGTAACAACAGAGTTGAGTAGTTTCAACAGAGACCATATAGCTTATAAAGCCTGAAATATTTGCTGTC